AGGGGCCAGGCCGTTCTCGTTCTTGTTCTTAGTTTATTTTCCCTCTCAGAGACGTTCCTTCCAAAGTTCAGGCTTAGTAATTACATTATCCACCTGAGTTATTTTGAAATATGTCAAACTCAAGAGAGGCTCGGCTGAAATGTTAAGTTTAATGTAAATCAATAGATTTGTAACATAAGACCAGTATTTGCGAAAAAGCAAGATGCACTGAAAGTGCTGTTAGTTTCACACACTGAGGGAAGGGACAGGTGCAAAAAAAGCATAAAAGCAGCCACCTATTTGCACATTTTTGCTGCAGTGCTTTATTCAGTCGTACTGAGCTACACGTGCAGAAAGTGCCTGTTAAAAAAACCCCAAATGTCTGTGTCAAGTTGGAAACCTTGTAGCTGCAGGAGGAAAGCAAAGGGCAGTATTTTAGTGGATTTTACCACATTTTCCCTTCCTTATGTCTGTTTACTGAAGAGACAGAAAGGTACAGGAGGTGTTAAGGGCAATTGTCATGAGGATGGAGCCAGGCTCTTCTCAGTGATGCCCAATGATAGGACAAGGAGCAATGGGTGTAAGCTGGAACACAGGAGGTTCCGCTTAAACTTGGGAAAAAACTACTTTACAGTGAAGGGTTACAGAGCACTGGAAGAGGCTGCCCAGGGAGGTTGTGGAGTCTCCTTCTCTGGAAACATTCAAGACCCGCCTGGACGCCTTCCTGTGTAATTTCGTTTAGGTTCCTGCTCCGGCAGGGGGATTGGACTGGATGATCTTTCGAGGTCCCTTCCAATCCCTGACATTCTGTGATTCTGTGATTCTGTGTAGGAGCACACGGGCTGGGATGTCCCATTGATAAGCTGGGTTGAACAGACTCGGGGTATTTAAAAGCAGCGTCACATTTTCCTGTGGGATGAGGATTTGAAGCCAGGCTCTGCTGCCTTTCCTCCTTGTGGTATCAGTTGTTGTCACCAGATGTTGTCAGACGGCGTTTGCTGGTAGTCTGGGGAGCACTGCATCCTTCAGCCTCACTTGGGAGGTGGAGTGTTACCTGCTGCTAGTCACCTCCTGAAATACACCATCTGGGACATCCTGGAAATACCTCAGTGTCCCGAAGGTCACTATTTAATTAATTATTAAAATGAGAGCGACACAAATAGAATTTCAGAGTTTAACCCTCTGACCTTCTCCACTCAAAGCTATGTAATGCTTTATCTTCCCGGGGTTTCCAGTGTGTGGTAGTAAAACAATAGTTGTTTGGGATTCATAATTCTAATTTTTCTTTTGTTTCAAATGGAAAAAAGGAAATGCCATTAAGTATGTGGGCTAAATTAAAAAGAATACAAAAGCACTTGGGCAGATACTTAGTTTGATAATAACTAAAACAGTAAGGTTCAAGAGCGTAAAATGTGAGGTATAAAGAGTGGGAAAGAAAAGAAAAAAGTTACTTAAAGGAAGAAATCATGCTGCTGAAATTAAATAAAGCAAATATTTTTTCTCTCCAGTATGGAAGTGAATAGGTTCTTCCGGAGCCTGTTATCTAATGTTTGCGATGTTGCGAGACTAAATGATAAACATATGCTTACATGGAGTTATTTTATTAATTGCTTCATTAATTCACATTAATCATAGAAACAGAAATATTAATTAGAATTAGGGATAAAACCATGTTCCTGCCAATGTTTTTTTCCTGTCTCAGGAAAGATTTAGTGTTTGCAAATATATAGCACTGATTTTTCTGTTATTTTGTGTAGAATAGGGATCTCTTACAGTTAGTATATTGTGTATAGCTTCAATTTCTATTTAAAATAGAAATTCATGCAGCCTTCAAAGTTCATCTTCTTCCTTAATAATCTTCAACATCACCAGCACAGATAGCAAGTAAAGCACTCTCATAATGCCCTGAAGCAAAATGCTGCAAGAAAAAAAAAAAAAAAAAAAAAAAATCAACATTTTTATGGCTATACATTTTCTTAGTTTTTCTTCTCTTGGTATGTGACAAGGACTAAGTTGATAGTGTACAGTTTTGTAAAATATTGCAGTGTTTTCATAAGGATTCTAGGCCAAGATTTTTTTAATTTCTCATACCTTGGGCTTTGATTGCTTGGGCACCTGGAAACAGTCTACCTTTGGAAGGCTGGATCAAACCTGTTCAACACTTCTCAAGTTCAATACCAAAAAATCACGAGCGATTACTTACAGTTGCTGCACATCTTACAGTTGCATTATAGGAACACAAAAAAAGGTGAAGTGTCTTAGCAAGAGTCATCTGTGTACAATTAAACAGTGTAATAGTTTATTTTAAGATACAGAGCAAAAGTACAAGAGGAATAGTTTTTCTGAAGGTTGATACTACTTAAGCACAAGAATAAAACCAGTGGTATCAGGCACAAAAGTGGTATCAGCCCAACCTTGCAGGACAGTGTAGGAAAAGATGGTATCAATTAGTGTAGAAACTATTAATGCAAACTGTTCCTCAGCCTACACTGTCCTGCCCTGTTTGTATCCTCATCTTGCTATTGGGGAGGGATGCAATCACATAGAATGAGAGCGAGCTGAGAATTCGCTGCTCACTTACTGAAGTCAGTCTGGGGCACCAAGAAGACACACTATTGTTTTTAAACATCGCTTTTTTTTTTTTTTTTTTTAAACAAGTAATTGAATGGAGATTAACCATTTCTGGTAGGGCTTGGCCCAGCCTGTGTGGTGCCAGTGCTGAATATATGCAAAAGTGTGTAAAAACTTACTTTGATATCATGAAAGAGTGATTTCCCATATCTCTCTTTATATCGCTGTCGTATATTCATCAAGTCAATCTCACTCCTGGCAATGAGAATCCTTATGACTGTTTTATTGTGAAACCCAAAGTCCTAAAAAGAAAAGAAGATAAGAGGAAACTTGACAGTTGGACAATATGTATTGGCCTATCTCTTTATTCTCATATTAATGTTTACTATATAAGCCAATTAATTAGGCTACCCATAAAGATTTCCTTGACTTTAAAGGAGTCTAAGCATTCAAAGGTTTTATCCTTTTGAGTTTTCACGTTTTCAAATAGTAGAATTAATGTTACTGAATAACAGAAATTCCCCACATATCAGTGTTTTAACCTTGCACTGAAACTTTTAAAAAGAAAAACCTGATGCACTTTTGTCAGTGGTCTAAGGTATTCAATTTCTAGGTGGGTGGTGTGACTGCCATTGTGGAGACATTCAAACTGTACTGATGCCAACAACCCATTTCACAACAACTGCTGCCAGCTGTGAAATCAGGGAGATTTTTAACCATTGATTTAGAATTTACATAGCTTGTATTCACCTGTGTTTTATTTTAACTGTTTATAAATAAATTTTCATATTGTAGTCGTGTGGCGAATGGGGACATCTAGTGGCAATAAAAGTAATCCAAACAGGTTTAGGGTTGGGAAGAGTAATAACCGATTTAGATTATTTAAAGCTAAATCGTAATTTTATCAACTAGCCATTGATATTGAAATCTTGTTCTCAAAAAACCAAGTAATGAGATGTGTTAAAAAGTGCATATAGATAATCTTATACATATTTGATGGCTAGATTAAAATCTTTCCCATAAACCATTATGGACTATGATTTCAAGCATTAGAATCATGGGTAGGTTTTGTTATATTGTATTATAAATGGAAATATAAAAAGCTTTTGGTATTATCTGGACATAACTTGGCTGCAAAAACAGGCACTGTTCTGTGTTTATTAAAACACTTAGAGAAAAAAAAAGTAAAAGATTAATTAAAACAAAACACAACTGTTTATTCTTAATCATTGAAAACTTTTTCCTGCATCATACATCATCTGAATATAATATAGGAGAAAACTATCTATATGATACTTCTTAAAATTAGAACTTGAAAACTTGAAAAGCTGTCTAGATACAGGACCTTTGAGAAATGTCACTTTTCCTGCTAGCTGGTATTTCCTGGTACTTTTGGCAAACCTTTTTCATGTCGTGTGCCAGGATCCTCTTTTGACCACTCAGACGATACTGCCTCTCCCTCTCAGCCCCCGGGGCTTTCCTTGGCTCTTGCTGCCACTGTTGCTGGTTTAGCTGACACAGAGGACAGCGGTAGTGGCAACATCTGGAAGAGGATACTGGGGCCCTGCTAATGTGTTGCTGAAAAGTTTTGTTCGATGGTTCTGGCTTGAATCTTATCTTTGCCATTCCGGCTCTAAGATGATACTTCACATGTTACCCATGGCTGGCTTTTATGACCACCTTCTAAAGAGTACACGTAAAAGATTAAGCCTAAAAGATTATACTTTAATTTTTATATATCATAATGCCTTGTTATTTTCACTAATGAATGAAAAGCAAAATAAAATCTCTTCAGTGACTGTAGGAAGAACTTGTAGGCCTTTCTTTGCATTTACCCACATTTCTTCTTGGCAGTCATTTTAGTATGTTAGCATTTACACACAAAGGTAAAGAACCTGCGTCTTTACGTTTAGCCCCACAAGAAAATATGACCATATGTTTTTTATGTAACTAATTTATGATGAATTTTTAGTGATACTTATTAAATCTCTAGAGACAAAAATTGCATGGTAAGAAAGGTGTGCATTGAGTTCTGCACAGCAGGGGGAGATACAATCCATAGAAAAGAAAGGTTTTCTATTTAAAAAAGAAAAAATCGACAAAGTTACCAGACAGATTTTTTTTTTAAGAACTCTAAATATTTAACTTTTTACTGTTAAATCTTAACTTTTGATTAGGTGCTACTGCTTTTAAAACCAAGAGTTTTAAAAAATGTAATCACACCTTAAAGATTGAACAGATTGATTTGTAAGTACTTGTTTAAGGATAATCAAGCAAACAAAAAGATAGGGAAGCTATTTTTTTTGATACGTGAAGAAAGACTACTTACATGAATTGCATTATAAAGCCTGTAAGCAAAGTAAGAGGGCTTGTCACGAACACAGAGAACTAGGAGAGAAGAGTTGCAACAGGTAAACATAAGATTATTATAAAATAATTTCTATTGGCTTTGGACTCCTTGAAATATAAAACTGGGTAGTGCTGTCCATGACTCAGCTTAAAATTAAGCTTCCAGTTTCCACAAACAACTATTTTTATAATTTTAGAAGTCTGATCCTTATTTTGGGTGGGTACTCATTGCTGTTGCATCAAAGGGCTTATTAAATATCAGTGAATAAGCTCACATGACATCTTTGTAGAAGTATTATTTTCCTTATTCTATGAATTGAAAACAAAGGCATATACAGCTTGGAGCTTGTTTATATACCACTGAAGTCCTGAAAACTTTGCCAGTTATTTAATATGTGTAGAATCAGTTGGTAATGCAGTTATCACTGATCACACAGAATTTGTTATCAAATAAAGAACAGATGCTAGTTCTATGCAGTCAGAATCTAGTGCTGCAGATATACATTTTTAGATTTACACAAACATGGAAAAGTACTTCAAATGTTCTTTTCTCATTATCTCTGAAAATTTGATTACACAGTATAGGAGAGTAAGTAGATTAAAATATTAAAAAAATAATATTCTTGATGCATCAGAGATACCATACTAGGTATTTATTAAGAGATTACTGCTAATATAAAATAATATTTTTACGTTACCTATTGCAACTAGTAATTCTTGAAAGTATCCGTCATAACATTCATTAATGGCATCTACTATGTCTTGCCCGGAGATATTTTGGAATTCCTGGAAAACTTGGGGGGGAAAAAAAATCTTGCTTTATTCTAATTCGTTAATAATGATCAACTTGCCTTTTTTTTCCTGCTTCCCCCCAGTACTGTAACTATTGAGTTTATTTTTTTCCCTTTTTATTCTCGGTGTTTCATTGTGCTTATCTAAATGAGTAGCCTGAAACCTGGCCCCCAGGACATTCTCTCTCTGGGTTCTCCAGTGTTCATGGTGTTTCATTGTGCTTATATCCCCCAGGTAAGGCAATCTAAATGAGTAGCCTGAAACCTGGCCTCCGGGACATTCTCTCTCTGGGTTCTCCAGTGTTCAGTATAAAGTGAATGCATGCCAAAGCCTCTGCTTCACTGGAAGCTTTAATAAATTCTCTAGCTAGCAACCTTTGTTTATAAAACTTGTAAGCCAACTTCCTTGCTCAGCTTGGCTAGAACTGGACAGAGATTCATGGGTTGTGACAAGAAGCCGTGGTGCGACTTGCGTAACGTGTCAGTATCCAGACATGGATAATGCAGGTGTCTAGACTTACACGCACAAATATACAGGGCATGCTTACTCCCTTAGGGAGGGAGGCAAATTTTCAACTCATTGCTTACTACAAAACTTAACAGAGGACTGCCTTACAGGCAGAGCCCTCAAATCTCTGTTACAGAGAGCAGAGCGTAAGCAGGTGTGTTACATGATGTTCATCACCAGCCTTACAGAAGTAATGTTAGAAGAATTAATTTGTTGATCCATGACAGCAATGTCGTTCAAAGGTACTGTTAGGAGTTGGCATAAGAAATACAGCTGGCTGCACAGTGATAAACTTGTCACCAAACACTGTTTTTCCACTGCAGAGCAAAAGATATCTCAAACTTGTCACCAAACAGATAGAACTGGTTTCTTTTCTACAGTGGAAGATCTGGATTATCTCACATAAATTTCTTGCAATCTGTAATTATGTCTGATTATCTATTTTAAATAAAAATGTCACATTGTATTTCTGTGGGTATGTTCATTGCAAGAGAGCTGATGTGGACCCATCAAAAAGTGCTCCCGTCAAAAACTTCTTTGAAACTTCTGGGGAGAAGCCTCAACACAGCCACGTGTTTTCACATACAAACATTTGTTGAAAATACTCCAACTGCCTCTGCCAAGGTGTTTCCACTCACAGCAAAGAGTTATCTTGGAAAAATGAAGAAAATAGTTAAGAAAAATCTACCCCATCCTGTTGTGTTGTGTGTAAACTCAGTGCAGCCATAGCCTATGGCTTTCTTTAGTCATGCATTCTCCTCGCTGTTATTAGGCATCCTGATGGTTTCTGTTCTATCTACAGCTGTCTGTATCATCAGGCAAAGTTCAGTTTTGCGTTACTTGTGAAATCCCATTAACGTCAGTGTGAGTCTGAGAGCTCCAACCGTTCACACTTAGGTTTCAGGCTCATACCCTGCTGCACACTGAGCTTCTTGCTATGTAAACCATGGTTTTATTAGCAAGTCAGATTTCTCCTTTGCACTCTATGTTCAAACAGCTGAACTGCTGGATTACCCATCCACAACTGCTGGTAACTCTTGTTGCAGAGAATCATTTGCAGCATGTTTTTGTGTTCGCCTGTTTTCTGCTGACATGCTTCCCATAGAATCTAATATATCAGGAAAAGGAAAATAAAAAAAAAGAAAAAAAAATTAAGTCCTAAATTACTTTTCAACATTTGTGTTTGAGAAGCTCACATCTGACTGTATTTACCATTGCATCCTGAGCAGCTGTAGAAGGATCTGCATATCCTTCCATCCTTGTTCCCTGGGGAAAAAAATATACACTTTCTTAAAAAGCTAAATCCTAAAAGACTGTAGGAATATAAAGTTGCATATCAAATAACGGAGACTTTACTTGCTCCTAATCATTGTCTAAAGTTCATATCCAAGACTAGGACATTGTTTGACAACTTTGATACATAAACCACAGAAAAATACTTCTAATTTTCCCATATATTTAATAGCTTTTCTGTTACACAAATCAAGCTGATATGCTTTAGTAAACATGCAATGACCTGAATTATATAGTTGTTAGAAAAAGAGAAAAGCTCACAACTTTTGGAATTGCTTTTTTAACCATAATCATCTTGTAAGGTTACAAATCAGCCCTGGTTGCAGAACTCTTAACAACCTCAAGCTGCATGTAATCACTGCTTTAATGATACGTGTTTGAAGCAGTTTAGTTTAAAATTTACAGTCATTTTACCCTATATATGAAAGGGAGGATTAAAATTATGTATTGTCTGTCAACTTGTAGAGTGACTGATTTGTAGCTTTTTCCTGTTAAAAATGTTAATTTATATTTTAATTAAATTGTAAGAACTTCACACAGTAAAGAGTGGAATTCCTAGTAAGAAGTTATATTACTTGAAAGAAATTTTGCTGGAATGACTGCGTAAAGTTACATACAGGAGAAAACACAGGAAAAAAAAGACAAACAAGCAACAATAAAATAAGTTAAATGGTACTCTACATGAGACAAATGCCCACTTTTCCCAGTAACATTTAACACTGACTATTCTTGGCAAAGTTTTGCTGGAGAATCCCATAATATGTATAATAATTTTTTAAATTGTAGAAAATTATCATATTTCAATTAATACCCCCCTCAAAAAAAAAAAAAAAAAAAAAGAACTAGAGCAAAAATGTTCTGTTTGTCTCATACTAGAATATTAGTTAGCCTGAATTTGTAATTCAGTTAATTTATTTAGGAAGAACTATAACCTATAACTTCTGGTATGCTCAGTGTGGACATGAAAACCATTAATACTACACTTCGGCAGTTTAATAGTTTACTCTCCATATGTGAAGCACGTTTACATCTATATGTAGTCAGATGTATGTGTCATCAATCCCAAGATTTAATAGAAATCAAAGGAAAGAGAAAAATCTGAAAAAAGCATTAAAGGGTGCATTGGAAATGTTGCTATAGAATAATCTGCAAATCACACCATACTAGAACTGGAAAGCTTATATTTTTAATGAAATATCACTGAATTTTAATATAAGATCATATCCAAACATGTATGATTCAACAGTTTTCAGAAGTACACAGTATAACTGAGTAGAGTTGGAATTTCCTGCAACTGTTCTTTATCTTGAGAAAAATAGCAGTTAGACCTTGTCAGCTAAGAAGTTGCTGATTGCAGGCCTCACTATCAATATCTGTGGTTTAAGAAAATAAGGACTAATAATATAGTCTCAGATAATTTATTTTAAATTTGTTCTTTTGACAAGTAGAATGTGTCCCATGGTTTTAATAAAGATGAGAAGTGAGGTTACTTAACTTATAGCTCTTCCTTTTTAAGCAAGGAAGAATTTTCATTATTAGGGGGAAAAAAAACATTAGGAAAAAATATTTCCTGATTATAGCTTCTACATTTGAAACATCTGCTTTTTATCTGTGTACCTCCGTGAAGCCTGCTGCTATTTCAAATCGTGGTAAGAAAGACTTTTTCCCCAGACACACACATATAAAAATACAGTTATACCTTATGTATGCTGTTATCACCTGCCAGTCCTTTGCCATTATTTGTTACTCTGGTTTACAAAAGATTTTTAAGATAATGAACACGGTGACTAAAATGAGCATGGGAACTCATGATCTGGCAACGATGACCAACTTTGGTGCATAAAACTACAAATTGGTAAAGCTACAAAAGTTGGTGTGTGATAGTGACAATTCGTTCACCTGCATGCAAACATACTGTGATTTAGCGTATGTAGTAGCACATAGAACATAATGTTTAAAACAGAGAACTATGTAATTCTTTCTTTCATTGTCAAATGTGGATATATCTCCATTTTTACATAATGCCTAGACTGGATTATGAACCGTATATTCTAACAACAGAGAAAATAGAGCTTTAAAAATTAAAATCTCATTTGTACATGTGAGTAGACTCCTTTTGAGATGAGACAGATTGAGTAGAGCATCAGCAGTTGAATATCCAGGGAATTACTCAATAAAATAGTCTGGTGACCTTTGCCTCCATCTGAAAGCCAAAGTCAAAGTCAACGTAGATGAAGGAATTCAAGTTCCCTTCCTTTTCTGCTTTCACCCCCATCTTGTTCAAAAGTGCAGCACTATTGAACTAGCTTTAATCAGAGTCACCTTAAAATGTAAGACTTTGCAAATAGTATTATAAGTTATTATTAATTTTTTAGAAATGTAGCTCATACTACTTGTTTTTACAGTACCTGAGCAAGGTTCATGAGCGTATCTCTGAAGTGACCTGAAGTCTCAGAATCAATATCTTGTTGCAGGTCATTGTTATATTCTAGGTTAAAAGAAAAACATATAATTTAAATCACGAATTAACATGCTCTGAATAGCACTAGTGAAGGTTAGCAAATGAAGGATAAATAAATAGGGTGCTAATACATGTCCATTTTCTATAGTGCTTATCCACAGTAGCCCGTGCAGGTTCTACCCAGCGCTAGCCATGGGGCTGGCAGGGCTGCCTGGGCCCTGCCAGGGGGCTCTGCCCTGACAGGGGTCCTCAGCTGCTGCCCTGGCTCACCTGTCCACCCACCTGCGGGCACAGCCCCACCCCTGCTGCTGCTGTGTGGTGGTGGGATCCTTGGAAATGCCCCATCAGGGCAGGTGGGTGGAGTGTCCAGCCTGAGTAAGCACTTTTTGGAGGAAAAGAGCTTGTTTACTTTTTTGAATAAAGTGTGCAAAAGTTTCTGAAAATCCCCAAATGTGGCTGCCAGGTATTTCAATTGTCATTGGCAGCAATACATCTCAAAAATACTATGATGTTATTTTCAGTGTCAAACATTTTGCTTCAACCTTTTTTATACAGTTACAGGAGGGGAGGGAAAGGGAACCAGTTAGTGTTGGGAAGTCATTTTGTAGTTCAGTTCCTTCATGTGTGCTAGTGTGTTCAGAGCACACATAGTACAACTGCTACTATGCACTTGTAAAAAAACTTTACGCATTAAGTAGGCTTCTTTCATCTGGAAGATCTCCATATTTGTTCTTGAGGCTAATATGTCAATTAGACAGTTTTCTTCTGTGTCTACTCCCTGTGTGGAGAGAAGTAAATATGAAAGGATGTTCTTAGAAGAAACCACAGCTTTTAGAAGAACACAATGCTGCACGTATCAGAACTAGCACAAGGGTAACAGTCTGTGCTGGAGCAATGCAGAGTGTACTTTTGCATAGTCTATCTGTTTCAACAAAATTACTTTAAATTAATAGTAGAACCATGTATTTCAAATATATTCCTACTTAACCTGAATTTCAGCATGTACATTAACAAGAAGGGAGTGAAGCAACGCTAGCGTTGACAGAAACATAATGGGAAGAATTTTAGAGCTTTAGTAAGAATTTAAGATTTGCTGAAAGAAATCAGATGCAAAGATTGAGCATATATACCCAGCAAGCGTTCAGGCAATCTGAAGTAGATCTGAGTATAACTATTATGTTGTGCTTCTATATTTTTATTTTTTTTTTTAATTTATTTAGAAATGTTACACTCTGTAATGTCTATCATAGAACTTGTATTTTCCCACAGGATTTCATTTAATTTTATAAACTTACATTGACATAAGATACACTGCATATGCTGTTTTTGTTATGCACGTGTATAATGTTGGTGAGTATTCTGCATTTGGGATAGTGGGAGAACATCACATTGAGCCCGAGCCTGGAGACACACATGGCCTGTTTTTTACTTTGGCCATATGAAACTGTATCAAGATAGATTACTATAAGAAAGTTTAACTATGAGCCACATTTCTGAAAAAAATGTAACTTTTTCAATCTTTTCAATAATTTTAATAAAAGTCATGCTTCCAGTGCTACTGATGATATTTCACAATCCTTTTAATGCCAACAGTAATTAAAAATATATAGTAGTAGTTTAAAAGTTTAAAATATATAAAGTAGTTTAAAAGGTGCATTGGTTTAAGTGTCTGAAGGACAAGAAAAACCAGTGTTAATCACATTTTTTTGAGGAGATTCCCAAAATATATCAGATAGATCACTTGCTTGTATTTGTATAATTTGTGTCTTATTTTGTGACAGTGGACAGTAGCAAAAAGTCATGGAAAGAAAAGGAAAACAGCATTGAGCTCTGGTATGCCTTCCCGTCTTCCAGGAAGTGGCAATTTAGGAATTTCCTGAGAAGGAATTTGCCAAGGATTATTATTTTCAATAGCCCACAGTAGTCCTGCTTTCTAAGAATTTATTGAAGTCCTTTAGGAACTGATTTGTACTTTTGGCCTCCCCAGTGCCCTGCGGGAATGAATTTCACCATTTGATTACATGATTTTTGAAAAAAAAAAAATCTTTCAAAACTTCAGTTGTTTAAGGAACACAGGCTCAGATCCTGGGAAGAAAAGGAAATATTTTCTTCAGAATGTGCAATCAGTTCAGTTTGAGTGATCATTGGGTAATTTGTAAGTATTTATGTAACAGCATGTTCTGCTGGAGTATTGGGCTTTTAAGGGGTGGAGGCCCAGTGCGTGGCTGTTCAAATGAATTTTGTTTGTAAGATACCTAAATGCTTGCAGGATTAGGGCGTTACATTTCACTGTATACATACTTCATTTAACGAGTTTGCCATGGGTGTTAAATGGGTTGTATTTGTTACATGACAAGGATATTATTTATGCTGATTTTAGCATACCAATGAATAAACTTCATATAGCACTGTATTTCTGATTACTTAGTGCAGTACGTAGAAGTACGCTATTCCAGTGTGCTAACTTCCAGCAGTTTATCAGCCATTTAAATGTCAAACAACTCAATTTAACATAAGTTCAGTACTGTAATTAGCGATTGCGACTCTGAGCAATTCTGAATTTGACAAGTACCTTCAAGGCATGCCAGAGCTCGTGGGCATCATAGGAGGCAGGTGGATACATCAAGCCAACCATGACTTCTTTGAAGTGATGAGAGAGATTCTCCTTTAGGTCTGTTACCAGATCCTTGAAAAGAAAAAGAAAGTGCATAGACAGGATTGTTTCAATAGCCACACTTTATGAAGACTGCTTAAAAAAAAAAATTAATGGTTTTCCCTGTAAATGAATAAAGACAAGCTGTCAAAGATGAATTCTGGCTAAAATTAAGTAAGAAAAATATTCTTTTAAATAGTACCTACTTCTTTTAATAGTATGACTGGGATGACAGTAGACACACAAACAAGTAGTCCACATAGGATTGTTGATTTTTGGTTCATTAGAATACAGAAGAAAGTTCAGGGGTTTAAGTGCAACTGCTACTTAAAGAGGTGGAAACCTGCATACCACAGCAGAGCATCTGCAGCTTCCCTTGGCATATTCCCTTTGTGAATCTGTGAGCTAAGCACCTTGGAAGTCAAATCCCATAGAACACGGGTGATTTTTTGTGCTTTTTTCAGTGTTAATCACTATGTGAATAATTTAAAAAATCATCTATATTGCACCTAACACATAAAAATACCTGAGTTGGATTACTGAAAGGTTATGTGCTTCAGTTTGTGTATATATTACATTCAAACTGAATTCACTACTTTTGGCAGATGCTGGATTAATAAAAGGGAACCCTTGTCTTCCCTTGCATGTCTCTCAGTACTCGCTTGCCAGGTAGCTGAGTAATGGCTGAAAGTTTCCTCCCCACTCTCCCCTTTCCCAGTCGCATCCTTCAAAACACTGCAGATGCCAAAAGCTTGTTATACTACTGCTGTTTCTGATTAAGAGGATACTTGTGCACTCATTTTTTTTAAGTTTTGTGTACAGCACTAGGCAGCTGTCAGATATATTCTGACCTAAGTCTGAATTTAAAGGAGTACCAGAAATGGCTCCTATGATACACAATATTGTTTTCAGAGCTGCATCTTTTTCAGGCCTGTACTTTGGTTTTGATACATATCTGAATATAACTAAATTAGGAGCTAGAGTAGCAATGAAAAAGGACATGTACACATTAAAAATTAAATTTACGATGCAAGAACATACACAAGCTTCAGTGAATGCACATTAGATGCATTTGACAACCACTAAATCACACATGGAATAGAAATTAATTCATTAAGACATTTCACTTCTGACAACATGCCTGTGGGAGAATGAATTAATAATACAAATGGATACTAATTTAAAATTACTCCTGAAATCAGAACTGAGGAAAATGAAGTATTGAAAAATAAGAAAAGACAACTCTAAGTTGGCATTATTAACATTTCCTATTCGTCTCTGCTATAAGAAATCCCTGAAGGCTAATTGTAAGAAGAGATCTTAAAGCTTGTCAGTCTGTCTGAATCATTTAGCCAGTTCAGGTTTTTATTTTCTTTTTTAATGTATTTCTGCTTTTAATGTGTCACACTTAACATTTGTCAAATGAATGGGCATAGTGACTACCATACTGAACAGACTGAAATGGAATTAAGAGGGTGGAGGATTGGTCTGACACATTTACCATAGATTAAACTGAGAAGGCTAAAATTGTTATTGCCTTGCTGTCTGTTTTCTCTGTCCTGCAGAGTTTACCACTCATAAACTGGGGCTGCTGAATGGCACATTTGCCCAGTGCAAAGTGTCCATTAATACAGATTACAGGCAGTGAAATGCTGTCACTGATGTGTGGTGAAGTATCTTCTGAAGTGTAAACTGCAGCAGTTCAGGGCAAGACACATCCCATCCTGTTTGGCAGTTCCTGTCCAAACTTTTGAGGGATTAGTCAAATGAACTGCATGGAGCACTAACCAGATGAGCCATTTCAGTATATCTGCTGTCACAGGTGAGGAAAAAAACCCAAACAACCCCCCCCTCCTCCAAAACCCCACCAAACCTCAGCATTCCTGTTTCATCTCTGAACTATATTAGAGCTAATTTGTACTGACCCCTGTTTCCACATGGCAAAAGGTAGAACTAGGTGGGATTTTTCTGGAAAGCTGTCAAGAGTATCTTGATATATCTTGTGCGATAAAGTGTACTCAGTGCTACGAATTCATTTAAACTAAAATTGTGGGTGCATATGCAAGATGTTCCATGAGTTTCATAATTTTCTGTAGCCCATTTCTGGAATATAAACCAGTTTGCTTGCCTTTCCCTTCTAATATTATTCATAGTTTGAGAGACTGAAATTCTAAAAGTGATGTCTGAAGTTTTTTGCTTTTTTATGTCTTCTGCATTTTTAGGTCTGTGGCCACTGGCTTTATAGCACTTCAGGCTGACTGGATGTGGCTAACAGAAGTATAAATTTAAAGACGGTGTGTTTTCATAGATATTTATTTATTTGTTTATATTTTTATTTTGGATTTGAAATGAAAATCCAAACAGATCAGTGCTGAAACAAGTCAATAATTGTTCTCTGTGAATACTAAATATGGCAAATCATAACTCCATTCTTGAAAGACATTTGGCAATTCTTTATTGCGATATCTTTAGTGTTATCTGTAGGTCATCTTCATGTATCATGGCAGAAATTAAAGATAAAAAATGCTATGAAGCTTTTAAATGTTTTCCCTTGTTAAAATGATTGGTCCAGTTGAAACACTCTAGAGAAAAGGTTGAAAACAACCAGCCAGCTGCTTTGGATGATATAGAGAAGGAGCACTGTCCAGTGATTACAGAGATAAATGAAGACCTGAGAAGAATGGTCTTAGATCCTTTTCTATCACAGGCACATTTGGGTAGCTTGCCATGTGTTAGTGAATAACAACACAAGATCAACCCACTACTCTCATTAAATCCAGCTCTTCTCTTTCCCCAAATTCTTGAAGAGTAAGGGGTTCTTTCAGCATATTTAGAGGTCAACAGTTGTGAGGTATTTTGGTATACAGGTGGCACAAAGGCTGTCTCTGGAAAACTGTTCAGCTACCCAAAGAAGAAAGTACACTGTTCTACTTGTTAGCAGACTGGTGATGTAACAGACTACCACATCAGTGCTTAATGTGGAGTTTTTGAATGAACCATTTCTAGTTAACTCTAAGGCTGATGGCTGTGTGGTAGGATTTGTGCAAACTGAGTGTCCTCATTCACGCTGATTGGTTCAATAGCAAGCATGCCCTCACCTTCCACACATTTTCCAGTGAGCCGTTAGTTTTTCAGGCTCCAGGAAAAGAAGAAAACTGAGGTTTGTTTAAAATGTTTGGCTGGCTTCTGTTAGGGGAAGGGCATGTCTGGTCAATTTAATCACAGCATTTTTCTTTAGTTTTCCAATAGTATCTAGTTTCATACAGCACTTTTCACCACTAGATTTTACAGGGATTTTACAAAAGGTGTTGCTATTATTTTCACCCTTAAATTGCTGGAGTAACTGAGGAATACGCAGGCACTGCAACTTCCCAAGGTCATTTGGTTAGCAATAGTAGATCTGGAAACAGAATGAGGACATCTATCTCTGTGTATGTTTAAGACATTATATAACAAAAGTTACCTTGTTATATACAGTAAATATAGATAAAATGCATTTGAAACAAAAAAGCTAACTTTTTATGTTTTAAAAGTTTTGAAAAACCTTTCAAAGATTTATAAATTTAACAATCAGCAGCTCAGATGAGTATTGTGCTTAGTGTATGGATGGGATTCCATGGTATGTCATCTGAGAATATCAATGCTTGAGATGAGAACATTATTCAGTGTGTACCTATAATTGTTGGTGTGGTGTTTCTCTTTTATGTTTCAACCCAAATACAATTCTGTTTTACTGTGTACTCAAAAAACTTTAAAAAAGTAATGCAGAAACCCTGAAAAGCACATAGAGGAAGAAATAAGTCTGTCCGGAAATTCTAGTTTGGTCAGTAGAGGAGAATGAACTATAGAAGAAACTTTCCATGTCCATTTTTTTTTTCTAACTTTGTTTGTGGCAGACATATTTCTACTGCTATATAAATGACAATTTGAAACCATCAGAGGTATCGATAGTTCCATGAGGAAAGTTGTTTGCCAATCTGGTGCTGGTGCCAATCTGGTCCTGGTGCCAGCCAGCTGTCTGCCAGGCTTTTGGTTCCATTGACTGACCTGAGAGAAGGGCTGACCAGCTGCACTGGAGCTAGGAGAGACAGAAGTAATGAAAGGACAAAATGGCTCTGTCGTACCCTGCCGTACATGTCTCTGTATGCCTCGGCAATCAGAAGCCGCTGTGAATTGCAGCGCTGCGTTAGGATATCAATCAACACATCTTTTTCACAACCTGTAAAGGAAACATAACAAAGACTCTAAATTAAGGACGTGTAGTTATTTACTTACGTTTGTTATGGTTCATGTTTTGTTCAAGAACATTAACCTAAATTCTTGAAAAAAATAGATCAACAGATTAATATCCCACTGGTATTTACCAACATCAGTTATATTTACCATGCTTATGTACCTTTCACTTGCTGGTGTAATACCTGCAAAAAGTGAAGTAGTCTGTTATTATGAGATGCATCACCATCTCTCTCAAGCTCGGTGGACTGGAAAGCATCAATAAAACAGAGAGAGGCTTTCATCTGTTTGGAGCTAGGCACACTAGCAGAATTTGTGGCTGAGCCTGGGAAGTCACACTTGTATGCTCTGTTGATATTGATTGAATTGTCATTTCAGGATTAGGGATCTCTTTTATGAGGCTGACAAATTATGGTCAGACCATTTGCCGAAAAACTGAGAGAGAGATATTTTCAGAGGAACTATATAAAATAAGTAATGAAGTTTTAAAAAATACAATGTCTTAACTAATTTCCAATGGCATTTTATTGAAAGTTACATATGATCTTTTGCTTGATAGCTAGAGCATACTACTAAACTTCTATAGTGAATCAGTATTAACTGCTCATGAAAAAGAAGAAATTATTTACATGTTCTGAAAATTATTTTATCTTTTTTTTTTTTTTTTTTCATCCCAAAAGAAGGCTTTTGGTAATTTTAGAACCATAGAATCATTTGGTTCGAAAAGACCTTTGAGATCATCAAGTCCAACAATACCTGCCCACTACTAAACCATATTTCTGAGAATCTTGTCTACCTGTGTTTTAAATACCTTCAGGGATGGTGACTCAGCCACTTCCCAAAGCCCATTCCAGTGCCTGATAACCCTTTCAGTGAAGAAATTTTTCCTGATATCCAATCTGAACATCCTCTGGTGCAACTTGGGGCCATTTTCTCTTGTCCTAGCACTTGTTACTTGGGAGAAGAGACAAACACCCACCTTACTACAACCTCCTTTTTGGTAGTTGTAGACGGTGATAAGGTCTCCCCTCAGACTCCTTTTCTCCAGACTAAACAACCCCAGTTCCCTCAGCTGCTCCTCACAAGGCTTGTTCTCCATCCCCTTCACCATCTTTGTTGTCCTTCTCTGGACACACTCCAGAGCGTCGATGTCCTTCTTGTAGTGAGGGGCCCAAAACCAGACACAGTGTTCAAAGTGCAGCCCCACCAGTGCCGAGTACAGGGGAAGGATGACTTCCCTGGTCCTGCTGGCCACACTGTTTACAAGCCAGGATGCTGCTTGCCTTCTTGGCTCCTATTCAGCTGACTGTCGACCAGTACCCCCAGGTCCTTTTGATGGAAAGGGGTTTGGTGAGCGCCTCTGCCAGCTCCCTCAATACCCTTGGGTGAACCCCATCCAGCCCCATAGACTTGTGAATGTCTAATTGGTTGAACAGGTCTCTAAACATTTCCTCCTGGATCATTCGTTCCTCTCCCCGTCCCTGTCTTCTGACTCAGGGGGCTGGGTACCCTGAGAGCAGCTGACGGAGTAATATCCCCCGCTTCCTCTGAGGTGGCAGACTGAAGCTGGCTCAGCATTTACATTTACATTTACATTCCAGCATAAATGTATCTCCAAGTGTAAATCAATTGACTTTATCACACTTGCAGCGGAGATGAATTGGGCTAGAAAGTGTGGAGATCAGATAGCATCTGAATGGAGAAGGGTAGTCTCTCGTGTTTCTAGCAGTCATTGTTATATAGGCATATACATATATGTTACAGATACACGTTCTGTACGTATTGCAGCTTTGTTGGGCAGATTTTATCGTATGATCTACAACTGACAGGTTCTGTTTTAATGCAGATGTAACTGGATATTGACTATTTTTTTTTTTTTCAAGTTGACAGAGGAAGTCTATATTTGCTCATTATAGAGGTTTAGTTTTCTTTCTTCTGGATTATCTTGCTACAATTACACCAGCTTTGAGCATGACACTGATTTAGCATCAGTCTGATTCTTTTCCATTGAACTCACAAAGTAAATACATTACTGAAACTCTCTGCGCAAGGATTTCTTTTTACTTTTCAGAAAATAATTCTCACTAGGACTCTACAGCTTATACAGTCTCTATGGTAAAAACTAAGAAGGATTCAGGAGATAATTAAAAAAACCAAATAACTTTATTAATTTGTGTAATTCCACTGGTATCAGTGGGACAACATATGTGACTGAACCTTCTCACAAGAATGAATGTCATGTGCAAAGATTCAGGGCCGGGGGTGTCAGTGCCTGTAAAGGGTGGAGAGGCTTAAATTCCTCTGAAGCTGAACTATGTATTTTGCCAATTGTCCTTGAAATTAGAACTTTGTTCCACGTACTTAGTTAGGTAAATTAAAAGTAAAGTTAATGCACTTGTATAGACAGTATTAAATAAGAGAATAATCTCTGTGTTGTTATGTTGTTTTAATGTTGCATTAAAAATACTGTTTGAAGTCTAGCAAAGTGTTTAAAACTTTTAATCTGTAGCCAACTTAATAAAAAAGATAATCAGATTCCTCTTGATCAATAATAAGCGTTTTGATTTATTTGACATTGAGTCGGAGTCCTCGCATTTCCATTAAAGAAACTGAAAACAGAATGCAAGATTCAGCACTGGACAGGCTTGTGAAAAGCCCAAGGGTATAAAAATTTTGACAACAGTTTTAATGTGATGAAAACGTTTCAGATAGTAAAAAACCAAAACAAAACAATATTCTGACCCTCAGTAATAGCAGCAATCTTCAATGGGAAAACACAAAAATCTGAACAGAGAAAAATGCTTTGGTGAAGGAAATTTCTTTTTGTTCTTAGACTGAAAGCAAATACTACTCCTGAGTGGAAGATAATAAATTCTTTAAACTTTCTACTCCATTTATTTTTATTTCTTGGTGACTGATTAAAAGCCTTAATGGTCCCTGGTAACAGTTAATTGCTGAAGTTACAATTGAATACCTTTCCTTTGTTGGCTTCCACTGTAGTGCTTAACACAGAATTCTGTTTTCTTTTGCTTATTTTCTCAAGGAAAGCATTCATTGCTATAAGTGTTGGTATAGATTTTAGATTAATCTTAATCACCTCTTAGTTTGTGTAAATGCAAATACATGATTTATTTAGACATCACTGGTGTGACTTATTGTGATAGCTTGAAGAGTCAACAGATACATGGTGACACTTTTAATTTTATGAGTTTTTATTTTGCCTAATGCTGTCTATTTTATGAGAGCTTTCTGAAAAAAAAAAAAAAAAAAAAGTGTTAGAATCAGTCAAGATACTCACTAATTCCCTGTAGGGCTCCACCTAGCAACTGGGCATCCATAATAGGGTTAAAATTCGGAGCAGGAAAAATGGTTCCTTGTATCTGATAAAGGAAAAAGCAGAATTGAATTGAAGTGGTTTACATCTATAACTGCATATATAATTATGTTGAAAACCAACAATCACAACATTAAATTTTCTTTGCTTCCTGGGGAACAGGATGCAAAGTTTTTAATTTATGAAACAATTTTATTTATCTAAACCTCCCCTAGCACAACTTGAGGCCACTTCCTCTTGTTCTGTCACTTGTTACTTGGAAGAAGAGACCAACGCCCACCTCACTACAACCTCCTTTCATGCACTTGTAGAGAGCAATAAGGTCTCCCCTCAGCTTCCTTTTCTCCAGACTAAACAATCCCAGTTCTCTCAGCTGCTTCTCATCAGACTTGTTCTCCATACCCTTCATGGGTTTCGTTGCCTTTTTCTCCACGGTCCAGCAACTCAATGTCCTTCTTGTAGTGAGGGGCCCAAAACTGAACACAGTGCCGAACTGAACACACTCAGCCTCACCAGTGCCGAGTACAGGGGCACAATCACTTCCCTACTCCTACTGGACCTCACTATTTCTGATACAGGCCAGGATGCTGTTGGTCTTCTTGGCTCCTATTCAGCTGGCTGTTAACCAACATCCCCAGGTCCTTTTCCACCAGGCAGCTTTCCAACCACCCCTGTCGCATGGGGTTGTTGTGACCCAAGTGCAGGACCTCGCTCTTGACCTTGTTAAACCTCATACAATTGGCCTCAGCCCATTGATCCAGCCTGTCCAGATCCCTTTGTTGAGCTGTCCTACCCTCAAGCGGATCAACACTCCCGCCCAGCTTGGTGTCATCTGCAAACTTACTGAGGGTGCACTTGATCCCCTCGTCCAGATCATTGATAGATACTAAACAGAGCTGGCCCCAACACTGAGCCCTGAGGAACACCACTTGTGACTCCAACTGGATTTAACTCCATTCACAACTCTGGGCCTGGCCAATCCAACCAGCTTTCCACCCAGTGAAGAGTACACCTGTACACATGAGCAGCCAGTTTTTGCAGGAGAATGCTGTGGGAAATGGTATCAAAGGCTTTACTAAATTCTAGGTAGACAACATCCACAACCTTTCCCTCACCTACTAAGCAGGTCACCTTGTCATAGAAGGAGCCAACTGGATTTAACTCCATTCACAACTCTGGGCCTGGCCAATCCAACCAGCTTTCCACCCAGTGAAGAGTACACCTGTACACATGAGCAGCCAGTTTTTGCAGGAGAATGCTGTGGGAAATGGTATCAAAGGCTTTACTAAATTCTAGGTAGACAACATCCACAACCTTTCCCTCACCTACTAAGCAGGTCACCTTGTCATAGAAGGAGAGCAGGTTAGTCAGGCAAGGACCTGCCTTTCATAAACACATGCTGACTGGGCTTGATCACCTGGTTGTCCTGCACATGCTGTGTGATGGCAGTCAAGATGATCTGCTCCATAACCTTCCCCAGCACCAAGGTCAGACTGACAGGCCTGTAGTTCCCCAGATCCTCCTTCCAGCCCTTCTTGTAGATCAGCATTGTGTTCAAATCTTTCAAAGTTATCTTTCAAAGTTACTCCATTATATCCCTGACAGTCTCCAATATCTATTTCTCATGGTATTTCTAGTTTGAAAGGGCTAGTGAGAAAATGATGAATGAGATACATAGGTTGCTTACAAACCTAGTGATTTTTTAAAGCAATGATGTTACTGCTAACTGTGAGATAGCTTTCTGAGATGCCATGTAGAAGGCAACATCATTTTTCTCATTGGTTTGTAACTGATTAAATTACTGTCAGTTCATCCTCAGGGATATGTTATTTCATGTATTTTTTCTTTTTTAAGAAATCTTTGAATAATAAACAGAACTGATGTACTCATTTTAATAGAATCACATACCCATACGTGTACAGAAGAAAATAACTGAGGTTGAAAGCTACTTAGCTCTGTCCCCTGGTTAACCTCATGAGTTCCTCTGAGGATTCTACCCGCTTTTCCAGATGTACCAAGTATAAAGGTTATCTTTCATGACGATTCCTGGTCTCAGTCAATACATCTGATTAAAATGCCACTGTTAACTTGAAATTTACATTTCAAAGAAAAATGGGATCTATTTTGTAAATACAAATGGTGTATTTTTACAAATACCTCCTAGAATCAGGAGTTACACTAATTACACTAATTAATTTGTTTGTTTGCTTGCTTTACATACACTTGAAAGGCTTTTATACATTGTGCCTTCAGTAGTAATGACACATATAGATTTTGTGTATGGCCACTAATCATGGTTCCCTGGCTTGCAATTTTAGCAAAGGAATCAAAAAGTAGCAAGCAAGAAGTGGATATTTTAGGTGAGAAAGAAGACATCATTTCTTGTTAGGTTTATCATTGCTTTAGACCCACCAAGCAAAGGTAAGGGCAACAAATTGTCAGTGGCTAAGTGAGGAAAAGAATGTATGGTCAGATATGTAAAGGAGTTACTTTAAAAAGTACTAATAAGGCAACGCACCTTTACACAAAGGAAAGTACTCACCAGCAGACAAATATCCTTCTGCAGTTTGTTCATCATTTAAATACAAGGTCCTACTTTTACAACTGAACATAAAATACATAGTGCCTTTTTACTCATTAAAACAATCAGGAAAATAATGAGGAAAAAAATCTTTTGGAGATATGGAGATAAATACTGGCCATAGAGAAGACAATGAAATCATGCCAATTTTTGTAGGTTGATATATGTTCTTTTATCTAAAATGAATTGCAGACTCATCCTTAAGATATGCTGCATCCCATCTTCCTTTGTCAGTGTGGGAATTGTCTGTGTACCCTGTGCCTCACTTGTGACATAGCGTATCTCTAGGGTAGGGCTCTGCAGATATTAGCCTCAGAAATTGAGAGTTTATACCCTCATGACATCCTAGTTACTGACAGTACACATACTTCTTCAAATGTCATTCACCAGAAGTTTCCTAGGCATGTGCCATTTGCAGCAGTGGGAGTTTGAGTGCTGTTTGGCCACATGGTACTTGAGGATCCATTTTTTCCCCTCCTTGCTAGCATGTCAAATAAAGCTGACCTTAGTTCAATCATCATTCTCTGCAGCTCAGGAGACAGAAGTGCTTGAGCTCTGTGGCTGGTCAATTGGACAAACCACCCAAAAGCTTACTAATAAACAAAACTTATGGAAATAAGTGCTAGAAGGCACTGTTAGAATGCAGAATAAAAAAATTATATTGATATATGTTATGAGTTAGTTAGGAAAAAAAGTTTAGCCTTCTGGCTCTGTAATTCATGCTTCCCAAAACGTCTGAGACATAAAAAAGCTCATCAATCTTGAGAGGAAAACCAAAACAAATCCAAAACCAACACATCATCAAATATTATGGTAGGGTTGCCGAAATGGAAAGCATTTTGATGGGGATAATAATAAAGAATGGTAGGGTGCAAATGGAATGCAGGTAAAAGATACAAGATTCAAAACCTTTGAGCCTGTGCTTTGCACCAAAAGTAGAAAGCATAAGGATATCTCACATTAGTTAAAGTGCTCTCTGAACTGTCACTACCTTTGCTGGTCAGAAGGGTGGCAGCGGGGAAGAGAGAAAATGTAGGAAGTGAGCATTTACTGAAATCTGATTTAAAATATTGGTGCTGGCTCTTCAACTCTGTGTCTTCTTTGAACAGGTTCAATTCCCATAAAGACTGGTTATCTCAAAGTATTTTCTTTTACACGTTCAGGTTTGTGGTGTCACAAAATGAACCACTGTCACTGATCTTTTCAGTGTTTATGATACCTGCACTAAAATGAGAAATAAGTGAGTTAACTTAGTGAATGCCTCAAGGGTGGATTCCTGCATAGTCCTTGGAATGAAAAATGACTAAAAGCAGTTTTCAAAGTAAATATAATCTCTCCGAATGGAGGCAAGTATTAATAATTTCTGAATATATATCTCTATTTGTGAAACAGTCAAAACAACAACAAAAAAGGCCTTATATGAGTGCATGTTTGCAGAAATGTAATCCTGGAATCATAGAATGTTGTGAGTTGGAAGGGACCGACAGGGATCATCAAGTCCAACTCTTGTCCTGGTGTAGAACAATCCCAAGATTCAGACCATGTGTCTGAGGGTGTTGTCCAAATGCTTCTTCAATGTTGTCAGGCTCGGTGCCATGACTACCTTCCTGGGGAGCCTGTTCCAGTGCTCCACCACCCTCTGGGTGAAGAACCTTTTCCTCATGTCCAACCTAAACCTCCCCTGGAGAGACTGATCATAGAAAAACCAGTTGAATATACAGATTTGCAGGCTTTAAATTTTTGACTAAAAAACTCAACACAGCCCTTGTAATGTGTATTTCAGGCAAAATAGTGGATTTTTGAAGGTGCTCAATTCTCCCTTGTTTCAGCAGAGTTGCTGGACACTTCTTTTAACAAGTATTCATCTAATTATTTGAGGCTCACCATCAGTAGATCAAACCTGACTTAGTAAACACCTGTCTCCTAGCCAGTATCTAATTAAAAACACAAAACTTTTTAAGTAGAACCAAATTAATATGAAGATTCAGGTAAAAGAATTTAGAAGGTACAGTAAAATACAGCTTTTTTTCTTTAATACAAATCCTTTGTGGGAAAGAACTCTCACCCTTTTGTTTGTTTTTAAACAAATTAAAATTTAATTAAAATTTTCTTATACTATACACATTGTACTTGGCTTCACCTTCCATCCCAGAGAAGACAGTTGTCCCAGAGTGTTATTTTTGATGATGATTTTCATTGTACCTCGTATTTGGATTTCCAGAGTGGTTTCTCAGCAAATTCAGCATTCTGCCAATATGTCTAACAGTTCCCTGACCTGAAATCTGGGATTTACAGCATATATGCTATTAGGGTCCTTGGAAGGAATTTTTACAGAACTAATGATGTCTTAAAGCTGGCACAGCTGACAGAGTTATTGTTGCAATACAGTTGTGTGCCTTGAAGAAAGTGTTTCCACTGTGCGGTGTTTACACAGTCTAACCTTTAGGAAGATTTATCCCATCACAACCTATGTCACTTTTGTCCTGTGACCACTTCCATAGTTTTAG